AAGATTGTGGCTGCCAATGTTAAATACCGGTAGGGCTTCCAATTGACAGGAGTAAATAGTTTTATCGTCAGCATAAATACCAAGAAGTGATTTTTGTTATGTAATATCAATCCTACTATGTGGCAGTGAATACTGTACAATTTCATCACAGATTAATGCTATTGCAAAAAATTACTATGTCTACTGCTAGGAAGGTTGGATCACTAGTTGTACTAGATAATTCGTAATGCCACCGACAAAGACCCTCTCTTTCAACAGGAATAAATAGTTGCCTTATCAGCATCGTTACCAACGTAAGAACTGATGACATCAGGAAGGTCATGGATTCATAAAAATAAAATCGATGTTCTTGACAAAATCCGAAGTAGAATCTGCAATATAATCGATCTTGACATGGCATCTCGACTCCAGTCACTGTCTCACCGACTTGACGTGGCTTCCCTCTGTCTTTTCTACAATTATTTTCATGACGAGCTTTTTTCCCTAGTGTCCGGACTATGTGAGTTTAAGCGTGCTACTAGACTGGCATCTAGGCCCCACCGTTTTATTGTTGAATTAGTTAAATGTAACCGCTATTTCTACTCCAACAGTTTCTTTTCTCGCACTTCCTGCCTGTGGAACGCCCTTCCGTTTCCTTGCTTCCCTGATAACTAGAATCTTCAAAAAATAAATGCAATGTCAGTCGCCATCTTCTAGAACTCCTTTAAGCTTTTAACCTCTCTTCAGTCCCCCTCTATGCCCAGTCTTTTCTCTCTCATCTTCATTCTCTGTAACCCCCCTGCGTATCAGTAGCATTCCCACATTGCTTGAAGTGAAATGATTAAAAAAATATTTCAAATATTTCTCTCATGATCAGCTCGATGTAGCTTTGTCCAGAGTGGGAAATTCAAGTGGACTTAACTTAATGTCAAAAGGAATGTTTTGAGAATAGATGTCTTGCTGTGAATGTTGCTTATATAGAAATTTTAAAGTTAAAGGGATTTTTATTTACGACTTAGTTGTTACTGTCTAACATCTAGGCTGGCTAATTAGATAGTGCTTAAAATAAACGAAATATTTGAACTAATCTGAGCAATGCCATGATTATAAGTTTAATACTAATAAAAAAAAAATACCTGAACCTCATTTTTTGCTAAAAATATTATTCACTTTTGATAAATCCGTGCCTTGTCATTGTAATGAAAGTTAGGCCAATGAAAAGAATTGTAATCATGTCAATTATAAAATAGCAAGTCAAATAAACTTTTTGATGGGGTGCCAAATATTTAATCATGAAGCTTTGTAACAAATCTCATGGATTAAATGATGCTTTAGCTATATACTGTATTGGGTAAACTTCAGTAGATAAAAACAAGAAGAAAAAAAAAGAGAGATTTTGACTGATCCAGCTCTGGCTGCGTAAATTCTCAACTTTCAGCTGAATCTCATACTTGAAATATAAACCTATTCATATTTAGAAATTTCAGTTATTTTCCATAAGATGTGTTAAAAATTTCCGAGTTTAACTTCAAACTTAAAATATGCTTAACAGGCTTACAAACTTTATGCTAATAAAAAAAAAAAACTAGAGATTTATCTTATTCTTAAAATGTAATTTTTGGACTAATCTGAACATTCCCAGACATTTTTTAAGCATTTCACCCCAAACAAGGTGTGAGTGCTACTAGCATGCAAGGGGTTACAGAGTGTAGAAAATAAGAGTAAAGAAGTATGTTTGTGGAGAGGATAAAGAGAAAGATGGTGGAACAAGATCAAGGTATTAAAAGATGTCGATTGCCCACCTCCACAATACAGAAAAATAACTTGTCGTCAACACTAGTATAATACACCATGAAAATAATAAACAAAAACTTCAAATTCTCAAGGCCCTCTATATCAAAGAAATCAACCAACCAACCCTCAACAAAATTTATTCACCAATATAGCAACAACAAATTCAAGTGCATATAACGTATATAGACTATTGCTATTTTACAATTATAACAATTTTCTGGGCAGCTCCCTCTGATTGAAACACTTGTTTTGCAAAAAATTCCATAGCTACAATGGATAAATTAAAAATTTTAAAATAATTAAAGAGCACGTTCACAACTGTTTTTAAAGATCACTATTACAAGTGAATGTAGTTTTTATCACAGTTACTATAAGTTTGTCTTTGTAATTTACCCCTGAAGATGATCTTAGAAAAGGTCGAAAGTACTTGGGTTAAAACAACTACAGCACTCACTTTCTTGATGAATTTCATCTTAATATCAAGAAACTGATTAGACAACTGAAAAGGACACACACACACACACACACACACACATACATATATATATACATATATATATATATATATATATATATAAAGAAAGAACAGTACAATATATAATCTGATGTTCTTGTTACTTTTTATTTTGACAAAACAGTGCTCAATGTAAATTTACAGAGCATACACATTATAAATGATTTAAAATATGGTTTTAATAACCATGTTTCAAAAATTGAAGCTAAAAACTTTAAATTTAACTATATAATTAAATTAAAAGCATTAGTTCCATTTCATCTTCAAGTAAATATATATATATATGTACACTAAAAATCAATATATGTTTATTTCTCACTGCTCAATGTAATTCTGAGTTACATGGCTTACAGTTGTATCATATTGAAATACTGGTTGTCACATGATCACCGAAGTTAAGCAACATCAAGTCTGGTCAATAACTATATGGGCGGCTAATTTGAAATACCATGTGCTGTAAACTTGGATGTATGGATGGCATAATTTATCACGGCTTGGAATTGGAAATCAAAAAGCCAATTCCAGTTCAGGTTCATTATATTCATTTTTACACAGATAGCATCAGAAAACGTATGAATCCATCTTTTCCCCCTCTAGCTATGGGTTAATTATCAATAAATGATTATTATCTCTAAAGAGAAAAAATTTTTTACAATCTAAAAATATTTTCTGGCTTTAAACAACCTGCAAAGGGGTGATAAGCCATAGAAAAGGAATCAATCAATGAAATACTGATTAGCTACAAAGGTATGTCTTTTAGATTTATTTACATTCTCTGGAATATGAATGTATAGGGACTACTGTGGCCATTACGTAAGGGATCAGTTAATGTATTGATTGTTATGTGGAATTGACCCCCACTTTATATCCACACTATAATTTCTTGTTTGTTTATCAAATTCTGATTAGGTATCAATTTACCTCTTTTCAACTCTATATTAAAGATGTACAGCACATACATCCAACTCATAAAAATAACGATCACAATTTAAATAATATTTAGTTTTAAAAAAAATTATTGAATAATGCTCACTTACCTTTTACCAGACTTTGAATTATAACACTTTGTGCCCTCCACAGGCTTTTGATTGACCTTTCAACCTCCTGGTGAATATTCATGGGCATCCCAAATCTAAAAGCCTTGATGAACCAATGACATTCTCACCTTTGTACATAAACACATTCAGCATAATAAATCCTATATCTACCTTGATAAAGTCCCACAGAGGACAAAATGCGTTGGCTAAGTATAGTTCTTCCTGTTGTCTCTTTTTTATTTATATATATATATATATATATATATATATATATATATATATATATGTGTGTGTTTACACACACACATATCTATATTCTATATATATATATATATATATATATATATATATATATAGGTAACTACACTCGTCTCAGAAAACCTTCGGTTTCTTGATTAGTTAATGATCAAATTAATTTCGAAGGAAAAAAGATTTTAAAAAAAAAAGAGCTAGGAACATGAACGTCTGTCGAAAATAATCATACAGCATACAGGTCCAAAGCCCAAAGAAAAAAACCCAATACGAATAATCAAATAACTAAAAAAAAAATGAAAAAGAATATATATATATATATATGTACACATATACATATATATATATGTGTGTGTGTGTGTGTGTGTGTGTGTGTGTGTGTGTGTGTGTGTGTGTGTGTGTGTGGATGTAAAATTATGATATATGAATATGAATAAAATAGACAGTATGAATAAATTGAATAAATAGAAAAGAAAAACGTTTTCTTTACCAATGTGTTTCATTCACTTGGGGATATTATCAGAACCAGAAAATGTCCATAATAATAATATTTCTGAAGCAGGTATATATAAAATAAATTGCCCCAACTGCTCCTTAAAATACATTGGAGAAACTTGCAGAAAGTTTAAAAAAAGTATTTATGAATGCAAAAAGGACCTCATACATAAGAATTTATCAAATGCATTAGTTTTGCTTAGAAATAAGTTCAAATCCACCTTCAACCTCAAGAATACCACACATATTATAGGAGAAAATAACTTTCTTACATGGAAATTTCTTGAGAGCATATTCTTCCCAAAATATTAACTTATGCCATGGTTTTTTAAAAATATTTCCTTTCTGCAAAGAAATACACTTATTGCAAGACATGTTGTCTTCAAATAGAGGTATTCCATACATGACTATAAATATTTTAAATGTTAATAGAACTTTCTCATATTTAAAATAAATGAATTAATTAATCAAGTTGAAATATGATAATAAATAGTAATTATATTAAAAAATAAAAATATATAAAAACAAGGCAGATAAAATACAACATTACTCACTTTTCTTTATTAGTTATTAAGTTACATCTTAATGGTCTCCATAGATTATTTTGACTTACTCAGCTCTAAGAAGATTTTAAAGTGTATTTAAATTTAAAAAAATTGAAAAATGAATATTTTTATTTCTATTTAGAATTGCATGCTGCAAAAGAAAATCCTTAGATTTAAACCTGTTGGCAAATAAATTGAAACAACTGCTTTGGTTTCCTTTCTTTCACCATACGGACAGTTTTGAACCGACTGGATAGGTATGAATAGAATGAGATAGATGGATGGAGGGATAGATTTGAACACATTGAATTTTTTAATTGCTTCTCCCCAGAATTTATACATATTTCAAGACATTCCTTTATGTCACTCTCTCTATCTTTTGAGAATGTTCCTATCTATCTAAAATTGTTTCCTTTCTTTCTTTCTTTCTTTTTTCTTTCTTTCTTTCTTTGTATCTAGCTATCCATATCAAACAAAGTCTCTCTCAGATTGTCAATCATTCTACTTTTTCTTCCTATATTTGTCTGCCTCACTTTTTATATCTTTCTCTTTCACTTTCCTTCCCAACTTCTCCTGGCTTCTTATTTTCTCTCTTTCACTCTCTTTCTCATTCTTTATCTATCTATCTATCTATCTATCTATCTATCTATCTATCGTCACTACTTGCTAACAAAGAGTAATTTTAATTTATTTGTAACTAACAGTTATTTCTGATGAAAAATTAAGGGCAATCTGAAATATCAAATATATATATAAATAAATAAATATGTATATATAGAAAAAGTTGCAAATTAAAAAATAATAATGTTTTATTTTATATATTTCATAAAAATAAAACATTATTATTTTTTTAATTTGCAACTTTTTTCTATATATATATATTAAGAAAGTATACGTGGCTTCTCATTATGCTATATATATATATATATATATATATATATATATATATATATATATATCGAATATGTGGTGCAGTTCAATTTATATTACAATGAATTATTCATACAAAAAGTAAATTAATAAAGTTAATGATATAAAATGGTGAAATCCCTTCGCTAACAAAATTTTAAAGATGCATTAACCTACTAATATATATATATATTTATAAATACACTAATGCATTAACCTACTAATATATATATATATATATTTATAAATATACTAATGCATTAACCTACAAATATATATATATTTATAAATATACATATATATATATATATATTTATTTATAAATATACATATGTGTGTGTTCCTGATCAGAACAAGCTCATATCTGACAATAGCTTCATCAGAACCCATTTAAATACATACAAAACCTTACCAGATTCTATCTGAAATATATTAGCAGCAAAAACGAAAAAGTCTACACTCAATAATATCAACTATGAAGAATGGAAATAATATCAACTATGGACACTGATAATGGCTAAAAGCATTTGAATATATAAAATATTTCTAGTTTTCATGCATATTTTTTACACATATTCCAGAAAAGAAAACATTTATAAGAATGCATAAAAACTGAATAAACAGCTTACTGGCAGTACCTTGTCAGTTGTCTTTAATGAAACTTGTATAAAGAAGAGATTGCTGCCAGAATTTGTAATTATATATATATATATATATATATATATATATATATATATAAAAGATTCAGACATTAATATTCCATGGTTAGTGTTTGAGCCTTTTATACTATATTCTTACTCTGTCCTGGACATTGAGTTCTACCTGGATTCTATCCTCTTGGAAATTTATATATATATATATATATATATATATATATATATATAGATAGATAGATAGATATAAAAGTGAACATTGAAGTCAGCACTCAGAGGCAACAGGCTGTTTCATGCTCACCGCAATCATCAATTGCTTCTATCATGAAACAGCGTGTCTCCTCTGAGTGTTGACTTCAGTGTTCCCTTTTATATTTATATTTACATACGCTCTATCTCTGATATCGAGCACTTTATCCCATAAATATAGCACACCTTAAAACTTCTTCATATACATATATATATATATATATATATATATATATATATATATATATATATAATTCAAATTTCCATAATATAGGTTTTACTTAATTAGCTATTATATTTCTCTAACTCTTCAAATGTTGAATGTATAACTAATTCTAATTTCTATATTTCCATTTTTACATCATATTAATTATATTTTATAATTGTCACTTCTTCTAACAAGTCTCCTTCCTTTTATCACTTACACCTCTTTATTTGTATATTTTAGGATTATTTTTAAATATAACTTTGTATTTTTTTATGTATTTTTAAGTATAACTTTATATTTTATATTTTATATTTTTAAATATAACTTGTTTTTATTTAACTTGTCTTAAAAATTTATTTATTTTTATTTCTAAATGTATAATTTATTTTATCTTATATTTTTATTTCTAAATATTTTTTATTCTTTAATATAATCTATTCATTTTATATTAAATATAAATTTTTTTAAATATAATTTTTACCTAATTTTAATATAATTTATCTAAATATGACTTATTTTTAATTTATTTAAATCCATCTTATTTTTAAATATAACTTGTCTTTCGAAGAGTAATTTTAAGTAGTTTATCTTTATAATTTAAGGTTTTTTTTAAAAACCCATTTTGTTCCTCTCTTAATTTCAAATTAACATTTCATTCTTCATATAACCGCAATTTAATATCATAAGATTAATATTCGGGTTTAATTTTTATAAAACCACTTCCCTTTAAGACTAATACCTTCCACCCTCTCCTGACCACTGTCTTGTGCCTTTTGTCTGACTGAAACATTGAAATGGATAAAATCTGTATTAGTTTTTCAATGTATTTTTTTATTTTCTTTAGCTATCGCAGTTAAATTTGTAATTCTGAGATGAACTCAGTCTATACTGGGGTTGAATAAGACTGACAAATCTCATCAGTTGAAATAAGCCTATTCCTCATATGAAGTAATTTGGGATATTATTGTGTATTAATTATTTGCTCTGTAATATTGTTATGGTCCAGATCCTTGTACCACGGTGATGGTCCAAGGTAGAACCAATAAAGAAGAACTCGAACACATGTATGGAATAACACAGATATATTACAAACAGGAATATATACAGAGAAGTAGAAAGTGTTAGTATGAACAATCAGGTTTAGTAGAGAGAACAATGTAG